GCTTATTGTCTTGGACATTTCAGCACTGGATGACAGCATTTCAAGTGGGTGTGTTTCTGCAAACCGGTATCTAAGTCGATGGATACATATAGATCTGCATCCATTGGCCATTGGTACTCGTTCGACCGGCTGTGAAGGCCGTGCCATGAGTGAGACACCAATTCCACCAGAGTGACACAGATAAATCCTAGCCTATTACCCAGGCAGATAAGAATGTTATATAAGCGGTTTTTGTTGATTTTGTTACAGTGGCAAAAAAAATGCCTTAACCTTGGTGTGTGGTAAACAAAAAAACTCAATTAAAAGTTACAATCAATCGGGGAATTTGTGACTGATTTTCGCAAAAAAAGATACAGATACTTTTGAGCTCCATTGCAGTTTGACGTCACAGGGCTCTTGGATAATAATTCAAACTCAAAGCAAAAAACCACACACATCCGAGGCAGCAAAAGGTTCAGTTGTGTGCTATGTTTATTCAACTAAACTTTCTGCAGCTGATAAAACAAAAGACACTTGTGCCCCTCGGATGGGAGAGGGAAAACGGGAAGCGACAGCGGGCAAAAGAGGAGGAATATGGCTAAAAGGGAAATGAATATATGGCTCTGGGAAGCCAGAAGCAAACAAACAACAGTTATTAAGGCAACATTTGGCTGAAATCATTTCACGTACCAGTTCCCAAAGCCTGGCCATATTACTCTTTATATCACACACATATATATATCTGTTTGTGTTTGCATCTATCTCGGGGGCATTTGACGCATGTTTGGGAATTATAAAGATGCCAAATAATTAAAAATGGAAAACAATGGAAGCCGCAAAAACAGGAGCCATGCGTCAATATATCACAGATAAATAGAGATGCATTGCTGTAGTCTGAATAATTTACACACGTGTTTATATAATTAGACAAGCACAGTGACTTAAGTTTTATTTTAAGTCATATTAGCTCAAGTCTGGGTAAATAGTCTTTGTAAAAATAAATAAACATTGAAGCGGTAATCTTTTATTAGTTTAGTGAGTTGTAAAATGCATTAGCTGGTCTAAAAAGTATAAATAAAATGAGAAAAAAAATTATTCAGAGATATAAAGTTTTCTTATAAGATTCTTAGAATCAAAAATCAATTAAATAAAATTGATATCACTCTCTACAATCTTCCTAACACCTTTCCTAAATCTTTATCCTAATTAAACAATAAATGATTAGAACAAAAAAATAAATCCCATTAAATCCTTGACAATCGCATTGATTTTATTGATTTCCTGCCACAAAACTTGTGCCAAATCAGTGAACACTGTGCGGCAGTACTGTCAAAAAATATGATAAACGTGGGCTTGTGTATCCCGCAATCAGGGGAAGTGAGGTGGGATGTGCCGTCAAAGGCATTCATGAAATGTACAAAGCGTCCGATCGAACGAAAGTACGAAAATAACTCATACGCCGGGGAGGCTCCCGGGGATGTAAGTAAGTGAGACGCGAGTGGCCAGAGTTTCCGTGGGAGGAGTGACTTGACAACGACGGGTTTTTCGTTCACTATCTGCTCGATGATTATAAATAGGTTTTTACCACAAAAAAAGCAAAAACTACAAACAGTCAGTCACGGCCACAATGCCTCCTTGCTGCTGCTGCTTGAATGTTGTCTCTATGTTTACCCAAGAATCAGAAGAAACAAACAGTCAACGAGGTGATAATGAAGACAAATCAACAGTGCATACACCCCCACACAGATCGCATTAGTTTACAGTTCAAATCTGGTGAATAGATCGAATTATGCTAGCCTGGATGCACAGTAAAATAATAACTTGTAATAAATATTTAATAATTACTTTTGAGGACTTTTAATCGGAATTCTACTTCAGAAACTTAATATATGTATACTTTTCTTTAATTTAATTAAGTTATTTTCATAGATTAAATTTCGAATAAGGCATTTCAAAATTACTTTTATTCATAGATCATTGTAACATTTCTAAACCAACTTATATTTCTCTCTGTGCAGCCCCATCACTTGCGCTAAAAGAGCTTTACATTCGGTTTGTTTGTTTGTCCGCCTGTTTGTTTAGCATCTTCTCGCCGGGACTTAATCTGAGCATAGGGATTAGCTGGAGGCGAGCACATCCGACACAAGAAAGTCGCGGAGCCAAGTAGGAGAACTTCATAGAGAAATCCAACAAAGAAATGGGAACAGCCGCACAACTTTTGATCTCTGAATATGTAAAACTTTTATCGTACGATTTTTATATGCATGAATCCAAAGAGCAGTTCAAGAATCTCGCCCAAGAAGTTAACCAGAAGTTGGTTTTCTAATCATAGAAAAGAAAGTGTATCGAAATATGTATTTAAAATTCAGCTGGCATAGAGAAAAGTTTCCAAAAAAGTGCACCAATCAAAAATGTAAACTTTAAAGGCATTTGTTTTTGAAAATGAAAAGTGGGATAAAGTGGGAAGGCGGTTATTTGTGGGGTAAACTTTAATTGGCGTGTGCAGGCAGCACACATCGGGTACTGTGACCCAAAAACGCCAACATGCGACAAAGTAAGAGCAATCAAAAAATAACAACAGGAAAAAGTTGAAAAATACACACACGAAAAATTAAATAAATAGGTGAATGGGTGAACAAGTGAACAGAGAGCGTTTGAATGGATGAATGAATGAATGGGTGGCCCTAAGCCTCTGTTCATTGCAAAAAAAAAGACAAAAAACTAAAGTAAACATAACAAAACATTGGCTTGGCTTTGGTGAATTTCCTAAAATGGTTATCATTGTTGTTGTCGTCGCCACACAACCCCAAATTTGTATAATTTCGTCGGGATTGGCTTTGTTTTAAAATTGCGCTTTCTCCCGCCTGAGAATGAGAAACGAAAACAAAAGTCAATGACGAATTTGAGAAATTTTCTCTGGAACGTCTTAGTTTTTTTTTTGTCTAGTAACCCTAAAAACCGGAATCAGTTGGCGTGACTCTATGTTTTTCCTTCCAAATGGAGCAGTTCCTAAAAATAATACCCCTGCCATTAACTCTGGGAATGAGTATTTTTATTTTAACACTTCTGAACACACTTTGTTCCTGATCCCAGCCCGAGATGTAAACATTTCGCCAACTTATTTGTTAAAGTACTCTTTGTGTGCGCTCGTTTTTTATGTCTTTTTAATTGCCACTTTGAGATGGAAATTTTAAGTGTTTCCAGTAATCGGTAATGGGGATATTGGGGCTGTTTGAAGGGTAGGAGTAGGGTATGCGGAGCACACTTCCACTTTGTACAATCTGCCTAAATAAACATTGCGTCTGGCTCTGCTAGTTAGTTTATTGCTATTATTGCTAACTTAAACTTCTTCTTCAAGTTTTCTGCTGACTTTGTGGAAAAAGTTAATTGAAATTTTCCGTTTACATTGATTTGAAGAGTCCACCCTCCTTTCCGCGCTACAATTTCCATGAAAATTAATCAATTTTCAAGTGCCATTATGAGGTAACAGCGCTCAAGTCGAAGATTATGAAAACATTTCCGCCTATGACTTTTAAATGAAATTAAATTCAATGCTCGCTCAAAGGCGTAATTAGACAATATGTGAAAACTCATTCAGCGATTGCACAAAAGCCAAAGGCGAACACATTTCACTGGCCAAGATAAAATAATATAGACACAAAACGAACTGCAACGCGAATCGAACAAAAGGCAATAAACGAAGGCACCGGAGATATATAGCTTCACGGATTGGGAAACGAAATTAAAAGTTTTAACGACTGCGACTACCGATGGGTAAAACAATTGACACGACAGGCAGTCAATGACAGTCGCAGGGATTGTTAAAACTTTAACTTTTATACAATTTGATGTGAATTGTAGTTAGAAAAGATTTGGGATACTAGGGAATTCTTTTAGATCTTTTAGATTTTTTAGATCTTTTAGATTTAGATCCTTTAGATTTGAGAAACAGTAAATTAGCCAAACCATTTTTTACAGTATGTTGTAGTATTGGAGTATTATTTAATAACATTTTTTATTAAATTACTGATTGCAAAATATAAGCCATAAAATGTTTATGGCCTGAAACTTTTCAATAACATTGTGTCATCAAAAATAACTCCTTAGAATTTGAATTAGTAAACCTCTTTATGATACACAGATTACAAGTTCTTTCTAACGCTTTTTAAGCCAATATAATTTATATTCCCAGTTTATATTCCATTTGTAATCTGAGTTTCAATAACTAAACAAAATTATAAATATTTACGTATAATCTTTTTTAAATTAAAATGTTATTGTTTTCTATTTAATTCTGGCTGCATCTTAAACAAGCTTCCAGCTCTATTTAAATAACTTCCTCCCATAAAAAAAGAGCGTACAAATCGTGTGTCAAAATCAAATGGAATGGGTTCTACGGGGGTTCCTGGGTTTTTGACTAAGGTTGAATGCCCTCGTTGGCAAAGTTTGACAGCGAGGAAGTCCTTAAATCGTACCAATCACTGTCGCTGTAATCGATTTTCCCACATTTTTCGCAAATCGCAAAAGTTTTACTGCAGTTTCAGCTGTTGGAGGGTCTTTGTTTCAGCGACTTTGATTGATATTGTGTGACACACACTCGGCGGCGATTCAATTTCAGTTTTCGTCACCGTAACTGTTACGATTTTTTCGGGTTTTTCGGATTTTTGAGTTTGCCGAAAAAAGACATCACGTAATATCTGTAAAATCTGGCCCATTGAAATGCCAGGCCGACATGATTTCTCAGGCCATATGAGTGTGGGAAGTTCACAGTGCAGCTTGCAAAATCCATTGACAAATAGGGTTTTCAAATAAAAACAATCGAAAAATCCTGAAAATTCAGTTATCCAGATTTGGCGCCCAACAACGGTACATGTCCGTAGAAATTACTATTAAAATGATACCTCTATAAAAATTATATGCAATTCTTATTATATTATATTGGAATTTGGTCAAAACTTTGGACATTTAAGGCGTGAAAAATTTATAAAATAGTTTTAAATAAATCCTTTTAGACAACTCACCTTTCACTTGCTTTCCTTGCTTTTCCTTCCTTGGTTTCAATTTCCGCTGCGCCTTTTCATTCAATTCGATTGTTCATTGAGATTCATTCGCACATCCATTTGCGGATTTATGTGTAAACACAGATATTTATAAGGAGATTCCCTCTAATTTGTATTTGGCATTAAAATTTTACATTTTCGTTTCTCTGAAAATAAATGAGAAAATGTATCTTTACTTCTCTGTCGAAACTCAAAACAAAAACAATCCAAATCTCTTTCTCTTTTTTGAGAGACAGAGATCAACAAAGCCGCTCTTCTTGGAGCAAGTCGAGCGGGACGGAGACTTGGGACCGGTTTGCCTTTCCTTAATCATTGGAAGAGGGAGGGAGAGCGTGTTGTCCAAACACCGTTAGAAAGAGAGCGAAACGCGATCTCTCGATTATGCTGATGCCTTAATGTTGTTAGTGTTTCTCTCTACCTTTCGGTTACGTGCGAAGATTTGGCAAGCAAAACCCAGCAGCAGCTAATTGGGGCTACCAACAAAAAGGGTACGAAATAGAGGGGGGACAGAGCACATAGCGCCAGCCAAGCGCAAGAAATGGAACAGGCCAAAACGAATATTGGAATTACACATCAAGGTGTAAATGCAGTGGAAATCACTTGAAAGAGACCTCGAAAATACTAACAAAAGGAATACAAACATGTGTTTGATGTATGTCATAAGAAATACGAAAGCAAAACGTTTTAAACTATAATTTTAGACGATAAACCAATTAAATTTAATTATAAATACCAAGATTTATAAAGATTCACATTGATAGCATATAAATTCATTATAATGGAATTTTTATATATTTAAAATAACGTTTTATTGGCAAATTTCCAGGAATAAGCTGAAAATGTGTTTGATATAATAAGTACACGCTTCTAAGGAAGAATAAATTAGAATGAGGTTTAGATTGTATAGTCTTGCTGTAGAGAAACAAACTATTTATTTTTTTATTGACAGATTTTAAATCAAATTCTTTTTAAGTTATTAACATATAATTTATAAATTCCTAGGAAAATTTATTTAATCGAGGGATGAGTGTATATTTAGAGCCATAAGAATGCTATATTTATCAAAAGACTGAAATTATTTGGAAAAATTATCATAGATTTTGTTGTTATCAATAAAATGGAAAAACTTTCCAAGTTAAAATACTTTAAATATATTCTCCATAAGCTTGACTTCAATAAATCAAATTTTTAAATTTAAAAAACCATTTAAAAAACTGTTGTTTGTAGCACAAAAAACAGGTAATTTATCTTTATTTTCTATGAAAGATCTACTTTAATGAATTTTGTACTACAGCTGCGAAAAAGTAATTGTGGATTTCTCGAAACCGTTAATAACCGATATATTATCGGTTGATGCAATAAAATCGATTTGTTGGTAAAAAAAACACTGCGGTATTTCAAGGCTTTAATGCGTTTCAGGGGTTCTTTTGAAATCACTACTAAGACGCCCCAATAGAAAGTCGCAGCGGCATTTCTTTTGTTGAACACCGATTTCGGATCCATTTTGTCACACACGCTTTTAGAACAAATGTTGTTGTTTTGTCGGAAAACCAGTTTCATTTTATTTTTCGACAGGTAATTTCCAACCTGAATTGCCCGAATCATTCTCGGTAAAATAGGAGTAAAGAATAAGCGCACTGAATGCCATTGATCGTTTATCGGCAATCAATGAGGATATGATTTTGCCATTAGCACAGGTCTGCAAATCATTCGTCTATTGCCAAAAATCACACAAACCGCATCTGTACATGCAAATGTTATGTGTATATAAATACATACGTACATATGAGTGTTTTGTACTTGTGTCAGTTGTACTTAGCGTGCGTTTTTCTGTTTTTTTTTTTCCCTTCTGTTTTTGTGTTTGCTTATGAGTTGGTTCCGTCTGGCAATGAGCGATTATGCAAAAATAAATCAATTGAAAAGCAACAACGTCGAAGAAAACCGAAGAGAACGCCACAAAGGAAAACTCGGCGGGGGAGCGGAGAGAATAGGCAAGGGGGAATCTGTAACAAGTGCCTTCAGAAGGAAAAACAGGGTGTCCTCTACGCTTCAAGGATTCTATTTTATCACCTTGGTAATGTTCACGCTCTTAAGTGAGCAATGCATAAATTACCATAGATACATTGATAGATAGGGAATAAGGAAATTTATGGGGGAAATAGGTAATAAAAACCTGGCACCTGCTGGGGTAAATTCGGTTTTAAGGAAGTTAAAAAGACCATCTTTGGACGTCTGATCTTAAATTTAATAAGGTAACCTAAAAATAAAATTTGTTTTTAACCAACTATACTATATTTTACTATAGATAGACAGGGGTATAGCTATTTATGGGGAAATAAGGGGGAAAAAACCTTGCCCCTGCTAAGGAAAACTCGGTTTTAAAGAATTAAAAAACATTTTTGGCTGAATAAATATGCCTGTTTTTCTCAAAGTGCACCAGTTTTTTTCACATTTTTAAAACATGTTTATTTTTAAAGGAACTTGCAGCTCATCACAATTGTATATCACTTTTGTGTAGAGATTTCAGCACGTTTAACATTGAAATGCTCTTTTACATATTTGACCAATTTGTTTATTGCATTATGAAAGAACAATAAATAGTTTACCACAGAGAGCGAGAGAGAGAGCCCCCAAACGCACACATCCACAGTCTGGAGGCCAAAAAGGGACAGAGAGACGGGGGGCATGGAGACGAGACGGAACAGATGTCCACGGAGCAGACACAGACACACACTCTCTCACACACACACAGCCACCGCAAATCAGAAACATTAGAGCACACACACATTGATTAACAGCATTTGCATTCACCTTGCTCTCTTTGTTTTCCTACTCCTTCGCCACTGCATTTACTCAAGGACTATCTTGGCCTCTTATCACTGCTTTGTTTGGGTTACTGACCCGTAATTGCACATTATTTATGTTTGATCACACCCACACACACACACGCGTGGCTCCACGGGGCCTCTGAAAATTTACGCGCGATGCTTTTCCGCAAAAGTAGCGCAAAATCAATCTTATTCGTTTCCTTCACCGTTTCACTGTTTCGTTATCCTTTCCTTTGCTTTTCACAAACACAGCTGTTTTCCCCGATTATATGGATTATTTCTTTTTTACGGCAGGCACTTTTGTGTTTCGGTTTAAGCAAATTAAATCGGCGAATCGTTCGAAATGTTTGTATTTTATTTTTTTCGAATGGCTAGGCTCTCTTGCACTAGTATTTATAGGTTTTCAGCCGTGGTGAAAATATGTGCTCTGCCGGCGTCGCAGCAGTGCTGCCAGAATCTCTGAATTAAAAATAGCTAGAAAAAAATGGCTGAATTCTTGCTACAAATTTCACTTTTAATAAATAAGTCTTTGAATATAATGAGAACAAAAGAATTTAGCCTTGTAATAAAGTTGTTAAAATGTCTAGGGTAAATAACAGGATTTGTAAATAATCTCATTTAAAAATTATAACATCAGAAGTTGCATACTTTTTTAAAAGATGCCAATATTAGCTGGAATGGCAGCACTAGAGGAAAACCGTGGCGAGTTTCAGGTGAGGGAGAGAGAGAGAGAACAGAAACAGAGAGCGAATATCGAGGTTTCTCTGCCGAAGTCGCATCAGCTGATTTGATTCAGCTTGCATAAACTGATATAAAAAAGGTGAAAAACTGGCAAAGTGTTATATAAAGTGTTATAAAATGGTTCTAGACGATGCTTGGATGGTGGGGAGCTTCGCTTAGCCTGGACTCAAACAAATCCTTACAAATTTGAATTTATTTTGTTTATTTATTTAAATTTGAATTTTCTTTTAAATACTTACTTTTCAGAAATGGTTTCTCAAAATAAAAGACATTAGAATCACATATTTTTTTTTAGGTAAATATACATTTATTTCATTTAATGATTTCTTGCTTTTTCCAACAATGTAAATATTCAGCTAACGATTTTTGCTCTCTGGTATTCAATCATCTTCCTGTGTCAACACGTACCAAGTTAATTTCGAATTGCATTTAGGGTTCATTTTAGTATAGTTTAGTACAACTAATGGATTACAACGATAGATTAATACCCTCAATAAAAAAGTAAAAAACTCACTTGCTTGCCGAACAACAAACTAAGAAACACAGAAGGTGAGTGGAGAGGAGATGTCAATACTCGAGTCAATGCAACTACTAACGTACAGATCTAGTTTAGGTTTAGGTTTGGGTTTCGGTATGTGTGTATATATAATAATAATCCTTATGCTTAGGTATATCCTTCATGAGTGTAGAATCACAGCCTTTTCATCGAACCATCAGAGTTCTGTTGTGTTTTGAATTGTCAAGTATTTCTGTTAGGGTGATATATATATGTGTATATCTAGGTCTAGGCATTACATGTATCTAGTTTCAATAATTAGCATTGTATTTTCGGTTCTGTTAAACAATAGTCGTTAGGTTGGTTAGGTTGCTTCGCTACGGTTCTAGGTACTAACGCTAACTCTCTACTTATATACAAATAAATATGCAAGCTGGCCCTTCTCTAGGCACATTTTCAACTAAAACTCGGATAGTTAACTTGGAAATCTTCGCTAAACAGTTAATTCAATTGGTTACTAAGTACATTTACGATATAATTATTTGCAGGGCGGCTAAATGAAGTAAACTAACGAAACATTTTTACTGATAATCGGTGTCGAAGGCCACTTATTTTAGGGTGAAAGCACTTGTGTACAAGTTCATGTTCATGGGTGTTGCTAGTCGTCGTGTTTCCTTATCCTAGAGTTGGTTTGCCGCTGAGATAGCCGCCGAGGAATTGCATTTTGGCGCTCGATCAAGTAATCGTTGTTATAATCTGATTCTTAGACCCATAATCGGTGATTCTGCAAGCAGGTTTTTAGTTATTTCAGCAAGGTAATCCAGTATATTTTAGAAGCAAAGCAATGTACAAATAAAAAGACACAAAATCATAAATGTGAACTCATAAAGATGAAACTCAAAACGTGCAAAAGGAAAACTATCATTCAAATTATTTTGTGCCTTTTTACCTATAGATTGATGAGGCTGAAGTGGAGCGCGACCAAGTAACTAACAAACCCTCACCTCTGCTGCGCTCCCGCTTGCTCTGTAGTATGACCTTGGTGCTGTCGTCGGGAACCAGCGAGATGCGCACTGTGGTGAGCAGCAGTCTAAAAAAAAATATTTAAAAATTTAAGAATTATAAAATTACTGTAAAAGAGGAGTCCCGGAGACTCACCGCGGCAGCACAGCCACAACTGTGGAAAGCAGTATCACCAGCCAGTGGACAGCGGAGCCAAAGCACACAAAGATCACCCAGTAGGTGGAGGGCAGGCCAAAACAATTGACGCACATTGAGTTGTACACAATTGAGAAGAGGTAGAAGGAGCCCAGGCTAATCCCAATGGATATGACATGCAGAATAGTCTGAAAAAAGAGATATATTCAATTAGATTTTCTAAAATTTTTATATTTAGAAATGTGTAAAGAACTTACCCAGGAACGTATTTCAATGGCACAATGCACTAGATTGGCAAACAGACAGGAGGCCGTAATTGTGGTGCCAAACTCCCAGATACCCACATTACTCTCCGCATAGGCGCACAGCGCCACAAAGAATATAACGAGGCTCTGGTAGAGGGCATCCAACAGTATCAGCCAAAAGTCGTGCGGTCTATAAGCCAAGCCCAGTCGACCCTGAAATAAGAGAGATGAATCAATTACAGTTGAGTTTATAATGATTCTAAAGCTATTTAAGAGACTTACATTTTTATAAAGATACGGATTCTTTAGCAGGAGATCTTCTGGCACTCGCTTGTCGTACACTCCAATAGCCAAGGGCGGCAGCGAGGTGAATATCAAATTGTACAGCATCAAGTACATCTGGTCCATCATCACAGACCCTGAGAAGCCGCAATATAGCTGATACCAAAATATCAGAAAGACAAAGGCCTGCAAGGGAGTTAAATATTTTAAATAAACTCTAAAAAAAAACCCTTAAAAACTAATTCTTACCGCATTCTTGTAAAAGAAATACAAAATCATGCGGGACAAGCGATCGTAGCACCAATAGCCATGCGAGAGCAGCAATCGCTCTAGGTAACGAAACCGGGAAAGTGTGAAATCGGCGGCCATTACGGCCTGCATGCCCTCTTGGCCGGAAATGCCCACACCCACATCGGCCATCTGGATCATGGACACATCGTTGGCGCCATCGCCAATGGCCAGGGTACGCAGATTCAGCTCCTCCTTTACCACTTTGACTAGGTAAGCCTTCTGCAGCGGTGTGGAGCGACAACAGAGCACCGAGGCGCAACGCTTGGCTAGCCGCAGAAATGGCAGTATCAGTTTGGACCTGGCAGGAACAGAGATAACAGGGATTAGCTAAAGAAGTAAAGCATTTTATATAAAACTCACTTGGGATCTAGGATAAAGGTAAGTGTTTTGCCATCCACAACCAAGGCACGCTGCTTTTTCCTCAAGGTTTGGCCATAGCCCAGGGAGGAGGATGTCTTGGCGTTCTCCATGTCAGTCAGATAGAAATTAATGGCTGTTTCTGCTGCGTCGCGAGATCGAGCTGTCAATCTAAGAATATAAATAAATGATTTGAATTAGTTAGTAAATTTTAAACATCCCTCTAAATACTAGCTCCACTTACTTGATCAGCTCCATTTGCTGAGTAAAAAGCTTTGCAGAATAGGCAATATTTATGGCGGTTTCGGGCTTATCTCCCGTCAACACCCAAACAGAGATTCCCGCTGCTAGCACCGATGCTATCGTCTCTGGCACTCCATCCTGCAGGCGATCCTCAATACCTGTGGCCCCGAGCAAAGTCAGATTGCTTTCCAGCTTGGCAAAGGAGTCCCGCAGCCTACGTTCGCGATTTTCAAGTGACATTTCAATCTCCTGATGTCGCGCCCACCAATCTGTATAATCAGCAGAGTTCAGAGTGCGTTTGGCCATCACCAGGATGCGCAGGCCTTCACGAGCATAGCGATCCAGCTGCTGCTGGGTCTGTTCTCGCAAGATGCCTGAAGTAATCGAATATTTATTAGAATTAATTTATATAAAAAACAATATAATATAAGGGGAAAACTCACCCTCGGGACTATTGTGCGAGCACGGCGCCAGGACGGGCATGATGGAGCTATCAGCTCCCTTGGTGTACAACACAATCTCCTGGGTGCCAGTGCGCCGGACCACAATCGACATGCACTTGCGACTAGAGTCGAAGGGCAGCACCTTGAGTATTTCATACTCCACTGTGGCACCCGCCGTTGGCATGCTGACCAGAATTTGATTGGCACTGCGATTAAGCAGGCAGCAGTCGTAGCTGTAGGCGGCATTCACCAGAGCCAACTCATCCGGGCTCTCGGCCTCATACAAGGGTCGTCCATCAGCGGTTCTGTATATGGTCTCCGTTTTGGTTGAACTGAAAAATAAATTAAATTAAATTAACTGTAGCTTAAACGGATTTCCTTTAAAGACTCACTTCATCTTCAGCCGCTTTCCCTGGGTCTTGGCATTCAGGAAGGTGGCTATGCTGGTAATCTTTGAGTTGATCACCGCCTTGGCCCTTCCCGTGGGCGAAATACTGTTGGACAGAGCCTTGTTTTTCATCGGAGGCGACTCCGATTCGGAATTTGGTGACGATTCCGCCGAACTACTTATCGGCGACAGCGTCGGTTGATGGCTCTGGGCAGGCAAAGCAAACAACAGGTTGGGCGGTGGCGAGGGCGTCACCGATCGAGACTCTGCCAGACGAATGTAGCGATCTGCGGGAATAGATCCCGGCTGCTGTGACCCAGAACCATTCAGTATGGTTGTGGTGGTCGTTGTTGTTGTTGTGCTGGCTGCCAGCAGCTTCTGTCGCTGCTTAGCGAGCTTCAGGTTTGCTGGACTGTTATTGCCTGTCTGCTGCACCTCAATAATGCCACTGGCATTCATCAAATCGCGATGGGGGGCGGCCCCAACAATAACCGTATTGCAGATGGCCAGCACCACCAGGAACTCTTGGATGCGTTGCGCCGGCGATGTCAGATAAGCTCCCTGACTTGGCTGCGCCATGTCATTGATCAGATTATCATTCGGCAGCAGCGGCGGAGCTGGTGCCCCCGGCTTCGAGTAGATCTTCTCCAGTTCCGATGGCGGATGATTGTAATCCGCACCGTTGACCACACACCGCCTGAAGATCATCTTGTTCTCGGTGAGAGTGCCGGTTTTATCCGAGAAAATATGCTGAATCTGACCCAACTCCTCAGTGATGTTCATTGCCCGACATTCTGTTTGCTTATTGGTATCCTGATCGTACAGATCGATGTTGTTGTGGATGTGAAAGACCTGCAGGATCTTGCACAGCTCGATGGTCACGTACAGGGACAGAGGTATCATCACCTGAAGAATGATGATGTATGTCCAGAAGGTCCACATGCCCTCGAGGTTGGCATTCACCTCGAAGGGAAGGTAGGGCACCGGAAAGTTGGTGAACGAGCTCAGCCACATCCTGCAGCCGATGGCGCCGACAACGCACAGTAACAACAAAATTATCACACACCTAAAGAGGGAGATTAATTAATAATTAGTTAATTTTACCTAATATTTAAATTTAAAAAATGTCTTATGCCTTTCCAGGGTTCTTATCTCTGTAATGTGAGAAACTGATTAGCTTTTCCATTAAAGACAAACTTTAGAACTAATTTAAATACCATTTCAATTGTTTTTTTGTACATCTTTCCCTGTAAAAACAATTCGCACGGTCAACGCACTCACCATATCACATCAATATTCATTTGCTGTTCCACCTGGGAGCGCTTGTACCTCGGACCACTATTGTTCAGCATCGACTTTGTTTCATGTCCCGCATAGACCACGATACCTTCAATAAAGTCTGTATTCTGTGAGCGAGAAAGGAATCATGTTGAGTAAATGTTCTGTAAATCCCGTAAAAAACTTACCTTCAGTCTGCTCTCTCTCAGCAAAAGGCACTCGGTCGATATCGGCACTCGCTCACCAGTTGGATGTATTAAGGCCCCATGGAATCTATATAGCTTCGTTGTCGGCGCATCCGCCTCCACGCGACTCACAAACTTGCTGGGCACAAAAATGCTCTGCATTTCCTCAAAGCCACGTACAACCTGCACAGACAAATATCTAAAGGTTAGTATCACGTATCTGGGTTGGGTAATTGTCGCACTTACCTCGCGACGCTTTAGATTCGTTTCCCCGTCCAAATCGCAGGTGTCTATGTAGCAGACCCCTTGGGGGTCGCTTGTCCGGAGCAGAAGGATGTCTGCCGGCACCGTCTCGTTGTTGGACAGGTGGACAATGTCCCCGACACGCAAGTCCTGCCATTTCACCTTCTTATAACGCTCAGTCTCCCTGCAAAAGCAAATAAATATTACAAATTGTAATGGATCTAAACGTCATTTGTTAAATCATTTGCAATTAATTCAGGTTATATTTATAAATAATAATTTATTTAGTCAAGGCTTATAAATTTCTTTATTTCTAACGATCTAAACTTTGAATTTTTTCTTTATTCCCAAAACTTGTTAGCCATTAATTTATATTTTTAAGCTATGACGCGATTATATTAAGATATTTGGGGACATCAAATGGGTGGGATAACACGTTTTTCAGGGCGTCTACGTCTGCTAGAACCCCCAAATTAAAGCATATTTAATGCCCAATCTTCAATACATTTTAAAGTCATTGCTTCGTTATGAAAATGAATATTTTATAATGGCACAGAACGAAGCGCGCGCTCTGAAGGCTTCCCAAATGTCAGCCACTGGTCACGAAATGTCGCTCAAGCTGTCATAACTATACAGAGATATGTAATCCATATGCAATATTCATGGAATGCTCGTCATATAACCGAAACTCAATTATTGTCAAATGAACACATTGATGGCTGGCCCAGAGCCAGCATTTACATGCGAGTTAAGTGGAGCTGCTCTGGCTTTGTTTGCTTATCTGGATGGGTTAAGGTCAGGGATGGGGATGAGTGCACCCGCCAATGGAGAGGAGAAGGTGTAGGAGTAGGTGTAGGTGTAGGCCGCCGCATGACGGTCAGGGGCTCGCATGTGGGCCGGTTATTAAAGTAACAAGTAAATTGCAAAATAATACCCCATCACTTGGCCTCGACCTTGGCCGACAGGCAGGCAGGCGCAGAGATGAGGGGCTGGAGTTTCCCCGCTGCGTCATGGTGAAAGCATTCCGCGGTTAATTTTCATGGTTTTTATTTTGGTTACATTCCATGATGTGCCCCATGTATCCCCGTAATGGCGTCATCTCTGCTCCGCCCTGCTTAGATATTTATGAAAGGACAAAAAAAAGGAGGGAGAGATGGAGTTGGAGCCAAAGCAAGTGCAAGGACATGGACATGGTTTTCCATTACATTCAAGTTCACTCTTCCATCCGGCGTGAAATTGTTATGGTTGTTGTGGGCAAGTGTAATTTTTTAACAGTCGCGTGTTCGACCATGCTTTTGGCTTTGTCATTGTGTGTGTTTGGCTGGCCAGTGTCCTTGCATTGCTTGAATCCAGCCAGATTGCCACTGTGACAAGTCCTGCCAACTACAGGCAGTCACAGCAAAATAAAATTAAGGAAAACAGGTCGCGCGCGTAGTTCGGTGAAAGCCAGCACTCGCCATCATTATAATTGGGTCATTAGCAAGATTGCACATTCTAATGCAATTTTCTAGGTCCCCTCGTCGCTCCCCCTTTGGTCATATAATTATATTTGTGTTTGCCCTGCTCCTGGCCAACTCTGGTTTTCTTTGTGTTGACTTGTCCCGGTAAATGCAATTCTGTAATTGGAACAGTTAACAGCATTGTCGTCGTCGTCGTTCCCATATATCACGTTCAAGTGCATGCCGACGCATGCCAGCAGTTTCTTGAAAGGTAAAAATGGACTTTTATTTCATTATCTCGCCGTTTTCCCCGATAAGATATTGATTTGGTCACTGTGAAGTGGCTTATTCTCGTGTATGACGACGTCAACCGGGCGCAATAAACCTTTATTGTTCAGGGTTTCGACTAGAAAACCTCGAATTTCTTGGAATTACTTCAGAGTAATGGGTAACTATGTCTTTTAAGTTTGAAGTGTTAGCTTCAAAGCAAAATGGCGAGGTTAAGGTCTCTGAGATGGGTTTAAAATTCTGATTAGTATTTATCATGTGATCGCCGGTTTCAGGCGGTTTTTTGAAGTGGTTTTGATAGTAATTTATTTATTTAATAACTGAAATCTGGGTTATGTGCTGAAAAGTATAAATGGAACTTTGGTCATAACAATTTATTGACCTGCTTATCGGTTTTTGTGTGAAAACACCTCATTCCTTATTCCATCCCCATTTTTACAACCGGAACTTGATCATCAGCTTGTTGATAATTATCCCTTGTTCTTTTTACGACTATTTATTTATTTGTTTTGATTTTGGCTTTCCCTCTCACTTACTTTCCTTGCACCTCTCCAAGTTTGCCATATTTTTATGTGCTGTTCACTTTCACTGTCGATGCTTTTTGGGTCACGCGTTAGTCACCCAATGACCCAGCGTCGGAGGGGGGTCCACGTCATTAATCATATTCCTCCGGATAGAAAACATATATAACCTTCGATAGGCGGAACAACAAGTGCAAGTTGTAGGGAAGGTGACAGCTGTGGGTCTTGTAATTATCGCCATCATTACAGTGCCCCCGACGTCGTCTTGTGGCGCGTGACCAACTGTTGGCCAAGTGTCAAGTCCATTAACAAGCCCCGGATCCCAGACAGTGTGTCTTGTGTCTCCTTCTCCCCGTGGGGAGGACATGCAGTAGTCACAGAACTGGGACGAACCCCAAGTTAGCTCACAACTTCTCGTCCGCCTTTGCCATGTTGCATGTCACCTAATTGGGACCAACCCACTTTATTCGCGGATTCATATTTACCCCGAGGGCGTCCCGAGCTGTTGAATCTTTAATGGCGCTTTGGCGAAGTGCAATTACCGCGGCTGACTCGATTTATTAGGCGGCCGGTCGGGTCTCGCGAAATGCAAAATTAATGCGAGTTTAACTCGACGATGAGCACGTTGATTGCTGAATTATTGTTTGCCCAACAAAAAAAAAAAAAAAAAGCAGACACTTGGCGGCATAAAAGTGAAACTCACGCAACTTCGCAACCCGAATCCGAGTTTTGTTTTCCGATTTCGATTTTGGGAGGCGAGAATGTGGGTCGAGTGGGTTACGCCTTCTCCTCTTCCCCAAACGCCTCTCTTCGTGCTTCTCACACGCCCTCCTCGCCGCTTCTTAAACACCCTTCTTGGCACTTCTCGCACGCCCTTCTCCCTCTCTACTTGAAAGGATCAAGTTGGTTGTTAGTTTGGCTTTGAGTTTGTGTTATTTCCCCCTCCTTTAGCCTGTCAATTAAAATGGTGATGGTATCGATTTAGCTCAAAAACGAAATTAAATGGGTCTTCCCGAAATCATAGTTTTGGCTACGTATCAGCTGAATCATGGTGATATAAAGCGTTCCCTGCCCGTATAATTCATTATTGATCCACGACCTCTTTTGTGTTTCATTTAATTAATGAAGTTTTACATCAAGATAATAAAAATATAATTCGGAGTGGTGTTTTCTCATGGCTGCATTTGAAAGTGGGGTTTTCCAAGCTAATTACTTTACAAACAATACGTTGCAAGCTAGGGTACAACCTATTTATTATGACAACACAACATAGTAGTCGGCCGCTAATCAGTTTTCTCTATTACTGAATTTACCAGCGAAGCATTTTTCTTTGTTTAAAATTCCAATGCAAAGATAATGGATAAGATAAAAGTGCATTTACCAGGAACTCACATATAAGAATGATCCAAATGAATCAAAGCAATGCCTCACTACATGCAATTACGTCATGGTTTTGTGATGTTACAACATTACACTCCGTCTGGAAGATCTCAGGGGCACACGGAGCAAATTGTGCTCAGTGTATTGAACCGTGCATTTGATTATTTTAGTGCTCCCATCTGGCCGAACGACCGCCGGCTCGTACGTACTCCTCCTCGGCATCGTATACATGGAAATTTATGTGGCCAAAGTGGGTCATGCATGTTCATTTGGAGGCAGGCAGTTATGGACCTGGAAATAGTAGGGTAATTCTCCAAAAGTTGGCAAAAGTGGGCAAATGCGCATGCCTCCATCTGCCGTCCGCCTTGGTCAGAGTCAATAAAACGCTCGGGCATAAACAGGAATCGGAGGTGGAGTGGGAGTTGGTGGAATGCTACCCGCTAATAGGTAAGTTCATGTAGCAGCAAGACAAGGTTGTTATTTAAAAGGTATTTTCCGTAGGCCTAAAGTAAACATGCGTGGGTCGGCGATTAGACCAACTTACACTTTGTGCTCAGGCACCAAAAAAAAAAAAAAAGTAGCTAGCGGAAAAACACACAAAAACACTGACTAGAGCAGCCTGACGACTATGCAGCAAATTAGGCAAAAGCCAACGAAGCATTAGCCTGGTTGGGTAAACATAACCAGCAGGACTTCAGGCGGCACAAGGACCATCCCCCGCAATGTTCTATCATAAATAATTCAGCATTTAATAAGTCTATATCCCCCTTGGAATCCCTCGTTCCAAGCAGACGATGAGTCCCGACAGATAAAGTGGGGCTGACAAGGGACTACTACGTACTCTGACAGACAGGTAGCACTTCGTCTAGGTAAATTAACACATAGTCACTGCTTTTCAATATGCACAACATTGCCTAAAGTTTCGCCTAATTGGAGATGATCGATATCACATGTTTGTATTGCTCTTGAAATCGTTGGGGAAATGGTTCATAAATCATAAATGTAATTTTCTCTACCTAAAAAACTACTTGTCCTTGACATTATTTGTCTGGATTTTGTGTAATTAGAAAAGGAATTGAAGTATAGAAAAAATCCTGAAAGCCAAGAACGAACAAAGAACGACACACATTATGACAGTAGCCTTAAAGTGGACTTTATTTTCCCCCTTGGAAATGACATCAACAGCCGGCTACAATGTTTCATTAATGAAAACTTCACCCACAGGTTTTACCACTGCCATTGCGCACCCACTTTGAAGGTCGTCCTTGCAATGTCCATCATGCTGTGCTGGGCTGTGCCGAGCTTTATTGTTATGTGCTAATGCAACCAAGGCGCACCCATTTCCTTAAAAAGGAAAATGGAAAAAAAAAATGGATAAAGATAAAGATACAGGCACGTGTCCGGACTTTTAGATACCCAGTGCTTTTTTTTGGTGATTTCTGAAACCTTGGAAGGGGTTCTTTAAAATCGAAAAAGAGCTTAAATTGATTAAAAACTATAATTTGCCAGCTCCAAATATTACGATATTAAATTTAAACAGAGACAAAAAGGTAAAT